GCCCTCCAGGACCAGGACTGGACACCTCTGATCTAAGACATGCAGGATAGTGGCCCTCCAGGACTGGACCCCTCTGATCTAAAACATGCAGGATAGTGGTCCTCCAGAACCAGGACTGGACCCCTCTGATCTAAGACATGCAGGATAGTGGTCCTCCAGGACCAGGACTGAACACCTCTGATCTAAGACATGCAGGATAGTGGTCCTCCAGGACCAGAACTGGACACCCCAGGTTTGACAACGTGATCTCATCACCTGCTCTGGAGCATCAGGGCGTCTAAGTGTTTGAACCATCATATGGGGACATGTTTTATTGTAACTATTGAATCATGACATATTTCATTTCATCTAAAAGCTTGTTTGAGGAAAAAATATTCCTCTTTGTGCACCGCAGGAGAGACTTTAAGAAAGTAAATAAGTAATTTTTATTTGAAGTACATTTTGAATGAATTATTCTTTTTTTACACAGGTAACTTTACTTGAGTACATTATTTGAGTATTCTTTCCATGTCTAACTAGTGATGGCATCCTCCGCATGATGCTGCCACTGCCGTGCTTCGCCATGTCTCAACATGATGAGGGGTGGCAGGTTTGTCTCAGACATGATGTCCTGCTCTGAGTTTTGGTCTCTTGGCAGGTTTCCTGTGGTGACATCATCTTTCTGGTTTCATGGAGCTCTGTGAGATGTTCAGGGTTCTGGGACATTTTTAGAACCCAACTCTGATCTGTTCTTCTCCACACCTCTGCCTCTAACCTGTGCGCAGAGGTCCCTGGTCTTCATGATGTCTCCTACTCGGAGGTGTTAGGCTGGTTGACAGACTGATGGTTCGAGCTTCACAGCTGAGGGGCTGAATACTTTTTAACAAACAACTTTTCAGTTTTATACGTTCATTTTTTTAAACTTTTCAAACATTTAACTGAATTAAGCTGGAATTTTTTTTAAATAAAATTGTTGTGTTTAATTAAATTAAAAAGCCAAATAAATTTAGGACTGCGAGACAACAAAATAAAGATCGCCTAGAGGAGTGAATACTTTTCTAAGGCTTCATATCTGACAAGTTTGGTCTGAGCCAAAGTTGTGGCAACAAAATGGAATTGGTTGACAAGCAGAGACTAGAACAAACCTCCTCATGTGTCTCCAGGTGCTCACAGACAGGAGGACACGCCCCGCCAGCAAGTCCAGTCCAGTTTTTATTTGGATGACTAAAGCTGAGCTGGTCTTCTCCAGGATCCAGAAGTGGGTCCTTATCCACACTTATGTAACCTCAGAGTGGAGGAAAACAAAAACAAACAACATTTCAATAATAAAGTAAGGTTTGCATGGTTAAAACCATCCATCCATCCCAATCTTCTGCTTGTTCCAAAGTGGTGATTCAAGGAGATGTTTAAAACAATTCTTAATAAAGACACGATGAACGACTGTCAGCTTTGAGATTTATTGAACACAACTGAAAGAAATGAAACATACAGCATGGTGTGTGTTTACACGTGTGAATAAACATGTTGGTATCGTTTCTAATTTAACTGAAGCTGAGAAGTTTGTTTAGTCTCCTTGGTCTTGCATTAGAACCAATAATGTACCTTTAATTTGAAATTGAGAACAGACAGAAAAAATAGATTGGGGGGCTGATGAAAGAGTGAAGACAGCTGGGCACAATGGCTACCAGGTGAAAGTGGGCGGGGCATGAACAGAGACCCAGACAGAGGAAGGAGTGGTGGATGGACTAGAGGAACACGAGGAACGGATAAAACGAAACACAAGAACCATAAAACATAAATGACCTGAATCATAAAACACAAAGTTCTGAGAAAACCCACAAAATCCAAATCCTGGCTGGTTCTGGTCCACGTACTGGACGTCCTGGCTTTTTTTTTTTTCATGATTCAAAATGTGACAGATGGTGTGATCAGAATGTGATGCACCTTCATATTCAAGTTCAACGTCATTGCTCGACTCTTCTACCTGGGGTTGCATTACCTCTTGCATCCACTTCCTGGGAGGTTGTCTACAGTCCTGTGAACCTTCTACTTTTTACTAATCTTGTCAGCTGTGGTCAGAGGAACTTGAAGCAGCTTGGAGATGATCTTGTAGCCTTTACCTTGAACATGGACATCTATAATCAGCTCTTTGTTTTCTATGCTCCAGGTCCAGGGTGGTGAACAGAGCCGAACCAAAATTAATTGTCTCTTTAAGGTACAAACAAAGCTGTTTTGCTTTAGCACGTCATTGTAAATTAAACAAGTTGTTGCTTTACATGTTTTGTTTACTCCATCACATTCATGCAGATTTACATCAGATGATTCATTTTACAAAATCACATTCCACAAGAGATGCAGCTACGACTCAGTGAGCAGAGACGGACAAACAAGCTGATATTAGTTTAGAATAAAACACCTTCTGCAGTTTTTAACAGGATACTCAATGACAACGTTTGCTGTTTTTAAGGTACAGAACATTTGTTCGTACAGGCACTCGTAAATGTAGGTGCATTCAAAGGTCACAGAGAAGTTCAAACTTTTGTCCAAGTTCTGATGCAGCACAATGTTCTGTGGCTAAAATCATGTTCATTCAATCCAGTTTCACATCAGTTCAAGCCACATCTCTTGATACATTCAGACAGAAGCATCAGGTTTTCACGCAGCAAAGGCTTTTTGTTTTACAAGGCCATTTTGACTTTGCTGGGAAATAGAAACGCAACTTCCACGGATGGACTGACTCACTCAGACAGACGCTCTACAACGTCCACGGATGGATTGATTCACTCAGACTGACGCTCTACAATGTACACGGGTGGATTGATTCACTCAGACCGACGCTCTACAACATGCACGGATGGATTGATTCACTCAGAAGACGCTCTACAACATCCATGGGTGGATTGATTCACTCAGAGCGACACTCTACAACATGCACAGGTGAATTGATTCACTCAAACAGATGCTCTACAACATCTATGGGTGGATCAATTCACTCAGACTGATGCTCTACAACATCCACAGGTGGATTGATTCACTCAGACTACGCTCTATAATGTCCACGGATGGATTGATTCACTCAGACCGACGCTCTACAATGTGCACGGGTGGATTGATTCACTCAGACCGACGCTCTACAACGTCCACGGGTGGATTGATTCACTCAGACCGACGCTCTACAATGTGCATGGGTGGATTGATTCACTCAGACCGACGCTCTACAACGTCCATTGGTGGATTGATTTACTCAGTCAGACCCTCTACAACATCCACGAATGGATCATTTCACTCAGACAGATGCTCTATGATGTCTATGGATGGATCAATTCACTCGGACGCTCTACTTTGTCAATGGATGGATTGATTCACTCAGACAGATGCTCTACATTGTCAACAGATGGATTGATTCAGACGCTCTACATTGTCAACGGATGGATTGATTTACTCAGTCAGACCCTCTACAACATCCACAGGTGGATCATTTCACTCAGACAGACGCTCTATGATGTCAACAGATGGATCGATTCAATCAGACAGACGCTCTACATTGTCAACGGATGGATTGATTCACTCTGTCAGACACTCAGTCAGACACTCAGACAGACACTCTACGGTGTCCATGGAAGGATTGATCACTCAGACGCTCTACAGTAGACTAGCTCTGTCTTTGTTGTCTCGGGGCTCTCTGAGGTCTTGGGGGGCTGGTGTTAGGCCACCTTGGTGAGCTGCAGGTCCCCGAGGATCCGGAGGGATGTGAGGGAGGAAAGCAGGGAGAGCCGGTGGGTGAAACCACACAGAGGCTGACCGTCCACCAAGACACGAAACTGCTGGTGTTCACAGACGATCTCCATCTGCCCGTCAGACGAGGGGAAGAATGTAAATACAGGACAAACAGATTTTATGAGTTCAAACAACAAGAAATGTCTCTTTCATGGAAGAGTTAGAGTTTGAATTCAATTCAAACGTTAAAATCCAGTTTTCTTATCGCCCACCGTCTTTCAGGCCCCAGTTTGAAACGGTTTGTTGAGAAGTGAAACAAACATCTGAGCAATCTGATCAGATGTTTGATTCAGTAAAACTGACAGAACCATTTCAGTGTCCATTAGCTGTGGCAGCCATCTTGAATTTGGAGTAATGCCAAAGAGTAACCCCAAAGTTTTAGGACAAGACGTGTGTTCATCCCTCAGAGTATAGGTTGGGAATGACTCTCAGCTACTACCACACCAAGTTTTACCTCAATATTTGTAAAGTTCATGTCAGGTTCTTCCAGGTTCTATGAGAAACAGTAAAAGTACCTTAAAAGGTTCTCCAGGAGCAAAAGGGAAGAAGGACATGGTGTTCTCACATTGACCCCACTGCCCGGACAAACGGGCGTTCCGGTGGACAGCCTTGTCCGCAAAGCTGACTTTCATCTGCAGACCCACATCCCCACCGTCCTCCTCCTCCTGAGGCTTCGAGGACAGAGACACCTCAATGCTGTCGCAGGGACACATCAGGGACACACACAGCAGGGACACACACAGCAGGGACACAAGCTCAAGTTAAAACAAGATGAATGAAACACCAGCAGCTAAAAGCTCAAATGAGCAGTGCAGTCTCAATTTGATGAACAGCAGCTTCAAGCTAAAGCACGCAACAGTAGCCAAGAGTTTTAGCAAACTGTAGTTTAAAAGTTTAAATTATCAGACCAGAACAAAATTTATGTGAGGAACACCTGACAGGTGAAGAACACCTGGCAATGGATGGAACATCTGGACAGATGTAGAACACCTGACAGGTGAGGAACACCTGGACAGGTGAGGGACACCTGGACAGGTTAGGAACACCTGGACAGGTTGCATGCCCGTCACATATACTGTAATTGTCATAAGTTAATTTAAAGTGTCCCTATGATTGACTGGAGACCTGTCCAGGTTTCTCTGTGATGGACTGGAGACTTGTCCAGGCTGTCTCCCACCTATTGTACAGTGATGGCTGGATATGGGCAACAGTGACCCCCGCAACCCGAAAAGGAAGAAGCAGGTAAAGATAATGGATGAATGGATGAATGGATGAATGGAAGTGAAACAAAGAGCAAACATCACAGTTTGCCATCACAGTGACCCGATCAGGAGAAAGAGTTAATTTAGGAGGAAACGATTAGAACATTTTTCTTCTGAAACGTGAACGTTATTTATGTTTTCTATTGTATTTGATGTAACAGAAACTTTGTAGAATAAAACAAGTGAATGCACAAACCTCTTCGGCTTCTTGTTGACAATTCCCATGATGACCAGTTTCATTGCAGGCCTCATGCCTCCTTTTATCTCCCCGACGTACCCCTCCTGGGAAACAACAGACACCAGTTAGAAGTTATTAGTGGGAGAGGAGGCCTCCACTCTGTTCTGTTGTCTCATCTGCAGAACGATGCAGTCCACGGATCAGAACAAAAGCTTCATTCAGCCAGAGTCCAAACAATCAGCTGCACAAACCATTCTGTAAACGTTCTTCACCCATGATCTGAGCAGGAGACCAGTTTTCAGATTGATCCTGGTTTGATGGAAAATTGCAGCGCCACCTTGAAAACAAAGAGAGAAGGAGGCTTACGTTTTCTTTCTTGTCCTCGTCTTCCATTCCACTCGGGTGTGATGCCGGCTGCAGCTTTGGAGCGGGATCAACTGCGCAGGCGCCGTCTCCAGCTCATCGCCATGGACACCGGTGCTGATGGAGGCAGACAAAAGCAGAGGGAGGGGCTCCAGTACATGCTCAGCTGGATGCACCGCTAGTCTGGAAAACAAAAATGCATATTTTAATTTTAATTTTAAAATAAAGATGTGAAATATGACCCCTTTTTCTGTGGATTAGAAAAAATTGGATGACATTTTTTTTAAACTATTTTGTTTTCTTTTTTCATTTGAATAATAAAATAAAACAACAAAGTCACCAGCGAGCAGAAACTAATTAATAATAATAATTTTCTCATATTTTCGTTCCAGAATTTGTCGACAAGAAAAACAGATGACACAAGCACATCCATCCTTTTTTTTTTTAACCCAGCTTTCCCTCCCAGCCCTCCCATGTCACAGAGACTGGAGTTGGTGAGAGATGCTGGTGTGGGTCTTTATGGCCCCCAGCTTGGTTCCTGTGTGTTTTATCCAGTATTTATTAAGTTTATTCAACCAGACAAATCCCGTTTAGATCACAGATCTCTTTTGAAAGGTCCTCCTGGGCCTAAAGGCAGCCCAACATGCAGGTTATTTGGACTGTGGCAGGAAATGCAACACGTTCACTGCAACCTGCTGGCTTCCTTAGATAGATAACGTTTACTAATTGGCAGTGGTGGGTACGGTTCTGCTAAAACCAGCTAAGAGAGCACAAGCCTGTGTATCTCTTGTGCCAATGTTTGACATCAGTCGTGGGGGGTATATTGGTAGGATGTTAGAAATGCAGCTGCCAGGAAAAACCCAAAGAGGAGCTATATGGATGCTGTTAGAGAGGACATGGAGGTAGATGGAGTGAGGACAGAGGATGCAGAGGACAGAGATGGAGGAGGATGACTTGCTGTGGCGACCCCTGAAGAGGGAAAAACCGAAAGATTGTTTATTGTATTTTATATGGTGTCTGTCTAAAACAGGTCTCTGTTGAAAATGAGTCTTTGTGACTCAATGACCTGTATAAATAAAGGTTAAATAAAATAATCAACCCTTATATGCCTCCACTGTGGTTCACTTAAAATATCTGCTTCCTTGTTTTCAGTCAAACTTTTTTTTTTTTTTTATGTCTCTCCGTTTGACTTTTTAAAAGCTTCCACGACCGAACAGGACAAGTTGGACTTTTTAAAAGCTAACAAAATGTTAAGACAATCAATGTGTCACGTGTCGAAGAGGCGACATCAGCTGCTCAATCATTATGAGACGTTTAGGGTTGAATGTGGAAAATTGTTGTTGCGTTATGTAAATACGCGTCCATCTTTACTGTATATGTTTTTATTGTTTAACAAATTTGCTAGACTTTATTTTTACTACAATATATCTTTTGGGTATCTATTCGTGTCGCTTTTTGTGCTTTGTTAGAATTAATTTCTGAAAAAACAATACATTTCCCAGAACTCTTAAAAGCACCATTAAAAAAAAAAAGATGGAACGCCCACTTCCGGCCAACCTTTGACCAACCAGCGGCGGAGAATCAGCGGGACTGATCACATGACCTCTGTCAGCCAGCTAGCATAACAAGCCAAGAGGCTGCTGAGGCTAGAAGAACAAATAATCGGATATCAAAATGGGAAACAGCTCGGAGAAATGAGTAGGTACTTTTTATTTTGATTAGAAAAAATAAATGTCTTATTTTGTGAAATGAAATGTTTCCGATTGTTGACGGAAGTTAGCTGAAATGTTTTTAGGTACAAACTGAGAAACATGTCTAGCTTCATTCTAGAGGGGTTCTGTCCAAAGACCAGATTTAAAAGTCTTAAAGTCATATTTATTGACTCGAATGGCTGTTCTCTGATTTAAACTTCCTTTCTGTGCTAACATTTAGTTTACGAACTTTATCTGAAACGAAGATAATGAAATACAAAAGTACAAGATTTCACTTCTGTGGTGCAGATTCTGCTCCTCATGGTCACAATCAACACACAAATGTACATTTATTATTTCTTGTGTTTAGGTTACATTCTTAAAATGATATTTTACTAATCATGTTAATGTTTTGCACATTTACAAATCTCCAAACTTGGCAAAGCGCCACTTTTTAAAGAAATAAAACCTTGAAATGCTTAAAGTTTTTAACCATCATATAGATCCTGCTTCAAGTTAAAGTCAACCTTTTGTTCAGAATTTATATTTTTCATAAAATGCAAGAACAAACTTTATGAAATGACTTAAATAAAAAAGAAACTAAAATAATAATAGTGGTAACAGTGTTATAATAATGGGCTGCAGTAGCTTGGTGGTCGGTGCTGTGGTCTTGTCATCCTGAAGTTGTGGGTTCGTGCCCAGGTTGCGTCAGGAAAGTCATTTGACGTAAAACGTTGCGAGTTCGCTCGCTGTGTAGACCCCCTGGAGAAGGGAGCAGCTGAAAGAAACAATTGCAATATTATGATAACACTAATAATCTCAAATCTAAACCAGGAAGTAAAAAAAGAGTGATTTTGGTTGTTTCATTCTGGAGACTGCACAGCTTTACTGTACCGTTAGTTTTTTGGAATAGTTGTGTACACTACATATTCTTTCTGGACAATCTATTTCAAACATTTGTTAATGAAAGACTCAGACATGTTGAAAAGTGTAGTATTGTTGCTGTTCTGTGCTCTGTGTCTCAGGTGAAAGCAGCTCCTGGGCCTCGTCGGCTGAGTGGAGGACAAAGAGCTCCCTCGACTGTAACTTATGAGATGAAGAGCGTCTCAGTGGAAGCAACCATGCATCCCTTTGGCTGCGATGCTGAGACGTCTCTTCAGGACCTGTTTGGGTACTTCAAGAGGTGCCTGAGTCATGGGGAGTGGGAGCTGGCGAGCGCCTGTGTGCCTCAGCTGCTCAGCTCAAAGGGACAACTTCCTGAAAAGCTGCAGGGCATCATTAGAGCCATCATCTGCCATCCTTACAGTTTAAAGTGAGTCGCGTCCAGACCGAGTCCTGACCGAGTCCTGACCGAGTCCTGACCGAGTCCTGACCGAGTCCTGACCGAGTCCTGACAGAGCCCTGACCGAATCCTGACCGAGTCCAGACCGAGTCCTGACAGAGCCCCAACCGAGCCCTGACCGAATCCTGACCGAGCCCTGACTGAATCCTGAGTCTAGATCGAATCCTGACCGAATCCCAACAGAGTCCTGAATCTAGATCGAATCCCGACCGAATCCCGACCGAATCCCGACCGAGTCCTGACCGAGTCCTGACCGAGTCCTGACCGAATCCTGACCGAATCCTGACCGAGCCCAGACCAAGCCCTGACAGAATCCCGACCGAATCCTGACCGAATTCCGACCGAGTCCTGAGTCTAGACCGACCCTGACAGAATCCCGACGGAGTCCTGAGTCTAGATTGAATCCTAACTGAATCCCGTCCGAGTCCAGACTGAGTCCTGACTGAGCCCAATCTTTTTTCAAATGTGACAAGTGGACTCAAGATAATCTCAGAGCTCAAATGTTTTTTAACGATTAGAACTTTTCTAGTGATTAGTGATGAAAAATAGAGTAAATAAAGTGAAAGGTTACAAAAAGTGAAGAAGTCCCAGCCATGGTGTCCTGAAGGAGCCGAACGTTTTGATCTATGAAGTATTCAAAAGCTAAACGTCTGGCACAGTGTTCAGTAGTGGTTAACAGGATGTGGAGTTTGTTGGTGTCTGAGGTTTGATGCAGAACTCTTTGCTGTTTTTAATGGTTTTATAGATGGCAGTCTGTTGGCAGTCCTCACAGACTGGCCTGGTTTTGGCTGCAGGTCTTGGAGAAATGGACTGAAGAACGGGTATTTAATTCTTTAAAGTGTTGCTGTTCCTCTTCTCTCCATGTGACCTGGTGGAACAACATCTTTTGTCTTTTTATTTCCTTCTTTTTCAGATTTCTCCCCACATCAAACAGGAACTGGACTTTCTGCTTCTCCTGGAGGAGCTGGGCTCAGAGGGCATCCCAGAGACTCTGATCAAAGTCTGTTTTTCACTCCTGACACAGCTGAGCACCACTATCACCTGCTGTTGAACAGTTTTACAGACACGGAGTTAATTTTTAGTGGTAGTGGCTGACAGTCGTTTACAACGTGCACTTTGAGCAGGATATTGCTCCAGCTTAGGCTCAAACTGAAGGCGGCGGGTGATATGCATTCCTTCAGTGAATGTGAGGCCTTTAGTAATAATTTGTTCATTGTTTCCTCAGGAGTTGCACCAGGCGTTCCTGGTCCCCCAGTCTGAGGAAAGAAGACTCGTCGCTGCTGTCGAGTCGTCCATTCAAGTCCTGCTTGAGAAAAGGAAGCCGAGACATGCGCAGACTTTAGCACATTTTTTACAGGTAGAGTCACACACACCAATAAAAACAAGATTTTACTAACGCAGCTCATCGGCCACTCTCGTTAGGTCCACCTTGATGCTACCAGGTTGGACCCCCTACACCTTCAGAACCGCTTTAATCCTCCATGTCACAGATTCAACAAGATGTTGGAGACATTCCTCAGAGGTTCTGGTCCATGTGGACTTGTTAGAATCCAGCTGTTGGTGCAGATTGGTCAGATGAACGTCCATGATGTGACTCTCCTGTTCCTCCACATCTCTGAGGTTCTGATTGGGCCGTGGAGACCGCTGGAGTCCAGTGAATCCAGACCCATCATAGCGGTTTCTTCTTGTCCAGTTTTAGTGAGTGTGTGACCTGTAGCCTCAGTTTCCTGTTGTCAGCTAACAGGAAGTGAACTGTAGCCTCAGTTTCCTGTTGTCAGCTAACAGAAAGTGAACTTAGCCTCAGTTTCCTGTTGTCAGCTAACAGGAAGTGAACTTAGCCTCAGTTTCCTGTTGTCAGCTGACAGGAAGTGACCTGTAGCCTCAGTTTCCTGTTGTCAGCTGACAGGAAGTGACCTGTAGCCTCAGTTTCCTGTTGTCAGCTAACAGGAAGTGACCTGTAGCCTCAGTTTCCTGTTGTCAGCTAACAGGAAGTGAACTGTAGCCTCAGTTTCCTGTTGTCAGCTAACAGGAAGTGAACTTAGCCTCAGTTTCCTCTTGTCAGCTGACAGGAAGTGAACTGTAGCCTCAGTTTCCTCTTATCAGCTAACAGGAAGTTAACTTAGCCTCAGTTTCCTGTTGTCAACTGACAGGAAGTGAACTGT